AACAAGAGAGGGTTGCAGTTTATTACCAATGTGTGAGATTAAAGAAAAAGAGCACTCTGCAGTAGATGGGATACCAGGAATATATTTGGGAGAATTGGTTCAGGTACCCTGATGATAAAATCTATGGATTCTCAAGTCCTTCATATAAAATAGTGTAGTATTTGATATAAACTATACTTCTGCATACCTTAAGTTGTCTTGAGATTACTTATAATACCTAACACAGTGTAAATCCTCTGTAAATTGTTGCTACACTGGATTGCTTAGGGACTAATAATAACAAGAAAAAGGCTGTATATGCAGTGCAGACACAATATATATATAAAAGAATATTTTGAACCAAGGTTTGTTGAACCCATAGATATACCTGTAAATATAGAAGGTCAACTGTTCATGTGCTTTTGAGAACATTGTAGGTGTTGAAGGTTGTTTAAATAAATCATTAGATCATGTAGAAACCAATCTTGGGTCATGAATACACATTCAAAAGTACATTAGCGTGCTTACTAAACTTAAACTGACAACATTTTCTCCTAATTTACACAAGTCTAAATATTTGCCTTTCTTTATTAATAATAATTTTTGAAAGTAACACTCATTTAAGGTGTTGCAATCATGGTAGTAGTTATTCAAGACTGATGTTTAAAAATTAATATTAAAATGATATTCTTCTTCAAATTATATTCATTTATACAGTTTTTAAAGCCCTTCAATATTTCCTTACTCTTTTTTTGAGACAGTGCTAATAACCTCTTCTTTCATTTATTTCTGTGTATAATATTCTGTTCTTACATTCCTCTAAAAGTTAAGATTTATGCTAACAAGAATTCTCTAGATTTGTTTCCGTATTTCATGTTCAATTCTTTAAAGATCTCTTGAGATTTGTGGCATCTATGTGCCACTTAATTTTGCTGAAGAATTTTTAACAGTGGTCAAATCCTAAGAGACCCATTAAACTTCACATATGTTTACTGATAAATAGACATTGGATTTCTCATGATTTTACTGATCTCTTGGGAGCTATGCTCCCTGAAGGCAGCATTTTATTTTAACTGAAAAAGGCACAGTTCAATGATATGGGAAAGGCATTTCTGAACTGTAAGATTAGCTCAAAATTTGACAGTAATTCAGTTCTCTATGAAGAAAATAAACTATTTTATTTAAAAATGAAATAATTTTATTTACATTCAGTCTCCTACCCCATGTCAAATAATTAACTCTTGGGGAAAGGGATCTTGGCAACAAACTTCTTCTATATCATGGATAGAGACTAGGATTCCTTTGGAGGCCCTATAATTACTTCTTTGGAGCCCCTTTAGTTCCATCTTCCTAAGAAATATGAGAAACGATAGTTAAGTAATTTCAAAGTAATTTTGTTCTTTATTTTTTAAACTTGTCAATTGTCCTCTCTATTAACTGATCTTGATATTTCTCTGTGCTTTAGTTGTAACTCAAGCATCTTTTCCTTGCAAACCATTCTATTGTGACTTCAGAAAAGTAGTTAATAGGGCAATCACTCCATTTCTTTTCTTTAATTAAAATCCAGCTTTCTCTATAGGGATATTGCTTACTCTGAAAGCCACTTAACTGATTGTTTTCCCAGAATTTAGAAGTGAGTTGGTATGCTTTTATTTCCACAATGCCTATCCCAAATCATTGCCCTGTACTATAAAAACTCCTAAAACTCTACCTATCCAACCAATTATAGAATTTTCTAAATACTACCATAACTATTCCAGAACTTTCTCTTCACCCAAGTCCTATTATTGTCATTTGACTTCCCTTCCACACCTATGTAGTTGGTTCTTCTAACAATTTAACCTCATAGGTTCTTGATTTCCTCAGCTCTGAGACCTGTACTTTTTCTTGAACTCAATCTCCTACTGTCTATATCCTACACAGTTTTTTGTCTCAGCCATTTCATATAAAAATCATGTTTCAATATCTATAACAAAATACCCTCAAATAAAAATCCCTAGGTTGATCTTTAAAAGTTTCTCATTCTTTTACAACTACTTTTCTTATTCTCTGATTGCAGAGTGATCTAGACCACTTATCTATTTTCCAAATTTATCAGTTGCTCCTGCCTTAATTTTTTATTTCTTTAGATAAAATCACATGATTTCAATACAATATAACACAAGATACAACTATATTCAAGCTAATATCCTTAGCTTCTTTGATCACTCTTTCATGTGGTGATATTTCACTTCTTGTCCTAACTTCTACTATTGGATTGTACGTTTTACACCACTTAGGGCCCCAATTATACCACACATACCTTTACTATCAATAAACCACCTCTTCTACTGTAGGGTAAAAGTAAAAGACCTCAGAAAAAATGATACAAATAGATTAAACAAACATGTTTTTAGCTTCTTGATACCAGTGAACTAATTATGATCAGTGCTATGACAAGTGCTTATACTCTATTATTATTATTATATAAGGAGCTTAGATAAAAATCATGGTATGTATTTAAGAAAAGCGAGAAATTATTTGAAGCATTATAATCTCTCGAAATTTTACTTCATAGTGAACAACATTCCTTTCTGTAAACCTTGGGGTCATTCTCAGGAAAACAATACAAAAATAGATGACACAAAAAAGGCTATTCCTATATTCTTAGTTCTTCATTACTCAATTTACATGTGCTTAAGAGTGGAATATTAATATTTTATCAAGTCAAAAAGACCTACATGTGTATTTATGTATACTTTTACATCCATATGGATATTCCTTTGAAAGAAGTTAAATTTTATAAGTAAGCCTTTAAACTGGGAGACACATGATTGTGTGTTCTCAATTTCCTAGTATGATTTTAAATACAGAATGAAATTCCCCCCAAAATAAAATAACAAGAAACTTGATATGAGAACCCTGTGCTTTGCAGTTGTCTTTCCAATGACTTCTGCCACTTTCAATAGAATGTTTAATTAAGGCAGGTGTATTAGTTAAGATATAGCTTTGGCTGATGTGTTAAATGTCTAAGTTAACAGAAGTTTTCCAAGGTGGAATTTTGTTCCTTTCCCACTTCACAGTCCAAGGTGGTATCATGGTATTCCATAAAGTCAGCAGAGGGTGAGGCTCCTTATTTCCTCTATTACTAGGGTAGAGTCCTCACCTGCATGGTCTCAGGTGGCTTGCTAGCACACCCACTGATCAGTGGAAAGGGAAGCAGGATGCTTTTAAATGATTCCTTAGAAGGTGACCTCACTTCTGCTTTAATTGACTGTACTTGGGCACAATAATTGTAAGGAGGCTAAGCAATGTAACCTTTTTTTCTGACAGCCAGTTGCCCACCTAAGATCTGGAGATTCTATTACTATGAAGAGATTGAACAGACATTGAGAGACACTTAGCTGTTTTCATATTACCTCTTCAGCCACTCAAACATCCATACTCATCTTTCTCTCTACACATGCAATACGTTTATGCCTTTCACTGTGATATGTAGTCTCTCTATGAAGTCCAGATATAGCTCCTCAAAAATTAAAGGACAGTTTATCAACTTTCTCCCCATTAAATCATGCCATAGGAGTAGGAAACCTGCAATAAAAACATTTTTTGGAGAAGAAAGACCAGAATGATAGAGATACCTCTACCTTTTATTAATTACAAAATCCTGAAAATTACCAAACCCTCAAACTTCCTGTCCTGGATATGGAGTAGAGTTGCTTATTTAGACTTAGGATCTGTTTTTTGGAGGAACTCACTCATTCATTCCCTCTGTGATCAGTTTCTGGAGCTGGTCCCCTACCTAATGCTATATGGGAGTAGGCATAGAAAATGGATCTTTCTGGTGTGATTCAGGGGAAGGGTGCACAGGGTTGTAGCTGTCTCCAGGTAGTGCAAGTTTGAGGTCCAGGATTTGTTTTAGGAATATAATTATCATTCTAGTTTTTTAAGGCTGGCAAAATAATTCCTAGAAAATTGCAGTAGACCCCTATCATATTTTCTTTTGTTCAATTTAATAAGCAAGTTGACCCCACCGGAGATCTTATTTAGATGAGATCTAAATAAGCCTGAGAATTTCATGACTTTTATTCACTGGTCTTTGGGCCTTCGGCAATTTCATAGCAGCATCTTGAGGCCAAGTGTCTTGGTGGGAAGGGCGCACTCTTATGCTGATGCTGCCACTGAGTTGGACTCATTGTTTGGCTGTCATGCCTTGGACCACAAGTTTCTTTGTCCAGGAATGAAATTTTGTATCTGGATACAGTTCTGGTGGCTGTGATAGAGTGCAAGTAAGCACTGCTTAACCAAGATAAAAGATTCTTTCCCTGGCACGTAGCAAAACAAGTTGGTATGGAAGTTCAGATTTACATGGCTGTCAGTGCTCAGGCTCCTTCTAGTTTTCTTTTGCCTCATTACTGTCCTGTGACCCTTGTGGTCCAAACTCACCGCCACATGTGCATGCTAGCCAGGAGAAAGAGGAATCTGATCGACTTCACACATGCAAACCAGTCACCAAAGTTGGTCACATGGTTATTGAGCAGTTGCAAGGGCAGCTGAGGAACAAATGTATTTTGGGCAGTCAGAATTCAGAAGGGGGTAGCAGGGAGCAACTAAAACTCACTACTTTGATATTGAGGCACATGTGATGGCTTTTAGTTTGCATTTATACTTGTGAGTTGAGAAAACAAAGAAAATAATTGCTTTTTTATTCTTCTTTTTGGTAATACCCATTACATTCCCATTATAAACTTGGAACTAAGTTAAAAGACACGCACTCAGTGTCCTTCCCCACAAGGAGAGTCCACCCTCAAGGAGGCAGCCACAAAGAAGCCACAACTCTCCTGGCCTCTGCCAGTGGGCTGCAGGGTCTGGCAGGGGTTCCCATGCACCCGCTCACCTGTCAATCCGTTCAGAGTGGCCTGGGGGAGGAACAGGGGTGCGGGGTGGGTGGGGAAGAGAAGGAGGGCAGGGCGAAGAGGAGAGGAGCAGCCAGGGCTCCGACCCCGGGTGCTCTGCGCAGGTGCAGTGGCCGCTAACGCAGGATGGGGCGGCTCCATGGCGGGGTGAGCGGCGGCGTCGGGGCTTCGCAACGACTGTGGAGCCCACAGCCGCGTCAGTCGCAGGCTGAGCTCCGCACCGGCCAGCGCCTTGGCCAGCTGCTCGTTCCTAGGGCTTTTCAGCTCGGCGGCAGCGTCTCTGCGGGGCCGGGCAGACCGGGAGGTGGAGAGAAAGAAGAGAGAGAAGAGAGAGGAGGCAGCGGCGCAGCTGAGCGGCCACCGCCACCGCCACCGCCGCCTCCACCACCAGCGAGCCTGGGCCGGGCAGGGCGCCGAGCGGGCCGTCTGAGGCGCAGGCCGGAGCGGGCCCGGCACCGCAGCGCTGGTGGAGGCCGGGTCTCCGAGGCGACGGCCGAGGCAGGTACAACGGTACCGGAGGAGGCGGCGCCGCCGCTCGTCCCTTGTCCTCAGGAGGGGCCCATGGCGAGCGACAAGCCGGTCCGGCCCGGGGCTCAAGCCTCAGCCCGTGGAGCCCATCGCCGTCGGGGCCGGCAGCGGAGGCGGTGGCGATGGCGATGGCGGCGGCAGCGGGATGGCGGGGCTGATGGGGCGTCCGGCTCCGACTCCGGCTCCGGTTCCGCTCCCCGCGGGGACGAGTTACCTTTCGGTGCAGATCCGCAACTTCCGGATGAAATTCGCAGGTTGGACTCCTGCAGGTCGGACAGGTCGGCAGCAGGGACATCGTGGAGATGGTGCTCTACCTGGTAAGGGAAAAGGCGTCCCCAGTGTCCCCCACCCCATCCTCGGTCCCCAGCGCCCCCTGTCCCCCCTGCACCCGGGGTCACCCGGGGTCAGCCACGCCGCGCGTCCCCGGGAGCACGGCTCGCCCCGCGGGTGCTGCCCAGCGGGTGACCTGCCCGCGCTGCAAAGCCAGGCCACCGTGCGTCCTCTGCTCGGTCCTCTCCTGCACCTGAGCAGTGCCCAGCTCCACAGCGCTGCTCATCCCTTCTCCTCCTTGGCTGCCAGTAAATCGCCTAAAAAGGTGTGGGTGAGCTTTCGAGTTTAGTTAGGGGCTGAGGGGACAGACCTCTGGTTCCCGGGCTCCTTCTCCCCTACTCTCTAATTGTCCGTGGTGTCGCCCTCCTGTGATGACAACCTTGTTCCTGGAACCTAAGTTCCCCTGTGCTGCTGAAATGTGAGAAGCACATTAGCTCTGACCTGAGCGGCTGGGGTGTGATGTTTCCAGGGAGAAAGGAAAGCGATGCAATTTTCATCTGTCTTTGAATATATTCCGAGGCTGTGATAAGAGTGTTGTGCAGGACCCACCCACGACCCCCGTCTCTTAGACAGCCTTCCCTTCTGTGTAATATTGCCCCGAATATGTTGGTCTCTTAAGTCATTTTCTTTTTCTATGCACACAGGTGTTAAAGGTGAGGGCATCAAATCATACAGGTTGGTTTCTGTGGTTGCCTTCAGGAGAGTGACTCATGGATAAGACTAAAGGAAAGATATTAAATGCAGTCTAGGTTTTGGTTTCTTTCAAGGTAAGAAAGAGTTACTGCAGAACTGTGTGTGACTTAATGTTTTGTGCTATGTTCAGAAGAAGCATTCAAAATATTGGGAAGAAAGGGGAAAGAAATAAGGAGAGGAGAATCACAAAGAGCATAATTCATAGTATTGGTGCTTTGTAAATGCAGTGTTTGCTGCAGCAAAGCATTTTAAAACAATTTCCTCTGCAGTATCTAGTCTTTGACATACTATAAGTTTGGGTCTGGGAAGGCGAGGTGTAAATCAGGAGCAATCGGTTGACCATTGTACTTGGTGTGGATTCACAACAGTATAAAAATATGCTTGGCAAGGGATTTTATAATTCCTGTGCAGTTTGATTTTTCGGCTAAGCAATTATTTTTATTTGATCTATAGGAAAACTGAAAGAAAGCTGGAACTAACAGCAGTGGTGCCCTGAGACATGAATTAGGTAATGTCTGTGGTTTATGAGCTTTTTGAATTCACAGAAAAGTTGAAGCTTTTTATTTTTCCTTTTTTGCCAGTGTTTCACGTCAAAACTAGGAGTTTGTCTTTACTTTGCTATATTTATTACTGTTTAAGTGCAACACACCATTTTCTAATTTTGTATACCTCACCAAATAAGTCACTATAAAGTCAGTGTAAGTTTGGAAGAATGTCACCCTTTAAATAGTACCAGTTCTTTTCAAAGTGTTCAAAGAAATATAATTTTTTGGGGGGAGGAGTGTTTGTTTTAACTAGTTGCCAATACTTGCCTTTTTTGCTTTTTAAAGGAAAAGATGAAATCTCAAAAATGTTACCATAGTAGCTGGTATTGTATTTCCATATATTTAAAGGAACACATTTTAAGTTTTTTCTCACTTTTTCTCTAACCAATATCATTTTTACTGTAGATGATGTGGTAATTGTATTTGTATGTTTACTTAGTTCATCATAGCTCGGTAAGAGGCAGTAGACGTATCACAAGCTGGAAAGTGATTTGAATGTGTAGCCAGCGTGGATTCTGCAGCAGAAGAGATGTATGCTGAATTAGTTCTTTTTTTTTTTTTTTAAGTATAATAATTATTTTTATTACAAATTTCTGCCCATGATTTCAGTTATATTATTCTGGATATCACAGATTATACAACAGTATTATCTTATATACAAATACACGAAGAAACAACAAGAAAAGAAGGAATGTGTAGGTTGTATGATACTTTATAACTCATATTTATAGTGTAGGACTTTGTAAACATACAGGCTGGTCAACAAAGCCTGTTTTCCTATCACTATCCAGCTGCATGACGTGGGGAAGGCCACTTTTTAATAATCTGTCACCTTCCTGCTCTACCTAATAGTCAACTGGAAGCATGCAAAAGTACTTTGAAAAATATCATGCACTTGTGAGTATGAACTGTTACTTTTAACTGACTTACTGATTATTGGCTTTCCTATTTGAGGAATAGTACTACTCATGTTTTATTAAAAGTTAACACTTATTTACAAAATGACCCTTTTGAAAGGAACTCTGAGGTATTAGTTTCTGAATCAGTTCTTAACAGGTGGGGTTCTTTAGGTATAGTAGACTAAATAAGGAAGTGAACTATTTCTCTTGAGGTAAAGGCATTTAACTCTTCAATGCAATGTAAATCTACCATGAGGTATGCAGACATTGTTTTAGAGAGTAGCATTACTTTTAAGCTTAGAGTCTTTACAAATATGTTAATATCAGTTGGATATCTCTGCATCCACTTAAGATCTGGTACCTGCCTTGAATTTTGGAATGAAAAAGCTAGGTAAAATTTTTTTGTGCATGTTTAGAGAATGCAATCTATTTTAGAGGAGACTTTTGGGCAAAGGATGAATGACAAAAGGAGTTGTTTACTATTTAGTTGCTAACTATGTTAATTATAGAATAGATATAGTCATTTGAAGTGTAAGAGTCATAAATTGTAAGTTTAGGGCTCTATTTTTCCAAAATACTCATGATGAATACTGTCATGTGAAAATTTAAGCTGATGCTCAAAAATGTGTTTGGAGATCATAGGCATTTAAAAAATAATTATCAAAACTTTATTCTATCTATTTAGTAAGTAACCGAACCAATGAAGTTCATTTAGGTACAAAGGACTTGTTAGAGGTTGGAAGCCTTTAATATTATTTCTGGTGTTAGTTTCTTCCATTTCAGTCCTAATCTAAAATGTTAAAGAAAACTGAAATTTGAAAATAGTGAAATGTCTGTCAAGTGTGCTGTGATAGAAACTAGTGAAAGTTGAAGTTTTTACTTTGAACAATACCCTTATCATAGTCACCTTTGTCAAAATGTTTCCTTTTTTCCTGTTCATTCCTTCTTCTTATGTAATATGACAATACACATATTTGGTTTTAGGCAGTATTTTACACTTGCTTTACCCAAAATATTAAGAGTTTTGCAGAGTAAAGTTTAGGTGTGTAGTAAAATATAGGCCTTCTCTGGCATAGCAGTGGCTGGAATTTTTCTATTTTTTGCCAAGGTGGACAAGCATTTCTGTTACTCAAGGGGCTTGTGGGTGTCTAGAGGAGGATCAGCAATGTAATGGGAAATAAAATGATGTCATTGTAGATGCATGCGTTTTGTATAATGACTTTAGAGTTGACTTAAAACATTTCAAATAAGGAATGAAGAGTATCAGGAAGATGAATAAATTAATTTGTGAATAAAGTTACAATTTATTGTCAAGGATTTCGCCCTACCAAGTGAAAGAAACTGATCAATAACAAGCTTTGGGTTCAGGAGGAAGTATTTGATGTGGCATTATAAGATGGTTTAACTATATTAAACAGATTTTGTTGGTTGGTTTTCTGTTGTAAAGCAGGCACACTACTTAATGTAACACACTTGACATATGTTTATATGGAGTTTTTCATTCCTTGAAGTAAATGCTATGTAAATATCACGTGTATCTTTGTTTAGAACATGGAAGTTTCATTTATCACAGTTTTTGATAGAACATAAATTTTTAGAAAAGACAAAATAGAGGACTAATATTTACTTAAAGAAAGGAGTCACAATAGGGTGTTTTGAATAGCTGTTAGGTAGTATACAATTCTTTAATTATAATTATAGAATTTAGTTGTAGACGTATAGATTTTTTCAGGCATTTGTAGATTATTTTATGAATTACTATAAGGTATATCATTGTGTCTGTAGTTGTAGGAAATGACATTTCCCCTACTTTTATTTTTTTAACATTCTAAGTGGCATGTTGTCTACTGTATCAAAAGTATAACAAGATATTTGAGGGGTTTCCTGGACTATTATGTTCCTCTCTTTGTTAGTCAAAAGGGAAGTTTTAAATTACTTTGAACTGCAATTGACAGTAATTGTTATTCCTCAGGGTTTATTCATTTATAGCTTGATAATACTTTTTATTGTGATGATATTTAGAATTTCACAAGCAAAAAGCCTTTTAATTGAATTTATTTAAGAAATATACAGTTGCATCTTAGGTAAACTCATGGAAGTCTTTTATGCTAATGAAACCACATTATTTATATTAAAAGAATATTCTGTATTTTAACTTATGCTGACATAGGAGCCTTTTCATATTAACTTGTATATTCTTGCTATTGAGTATGGAAAATTAAATATATAAATACTGGAAGTTTCAACATCTTAAGGAGTTCTGAGGTTTTTCACAGAACTGTTTAGTTGTATAATGACACTAAAGCAGCAAGTATTCTGTAGCCTGTCTATGATCAAGTTATATTAATTTTAAACAGGTATTTTGTGGGACATACTATACCATTAATTAAAAGTGTCTCAGTATATGAGTGTGGCTGTAATAGCCAGTCACCTGCATTTTTACTACCTGCTTAAAAATTGTTATGTATCGGTTCCACAGGTTTTTCATTTGTGCCTGTATTTCTGATATTTATTCACTGTCAGCTTATGCCTTTTGTATCACACATCACTCTCTAGTAATGAACTCATTTATGTGTGTTTACTCTCCTATCTTGTTAATTCCATGAGTGGAGTAGCTGATCTTAACATAATATAATATAACATAATATAATATAATATAATATAATATAATATAATATAATATAATGTGTGTGTGTGCATTTGCATTTCTAGCATTGTGGTAAATTAAGTAAATTTTTTTGTTGTTGTTTTTGGCTGTACTGGGGTTTGAACTCAGGGTCGTGCATGCTTGCACAACAGGCATTAACACTTGAATCATGCCTCCAGGCCTTCCCCCCACACACACTTTATTTTTCAGAGACAGAGTCTTGTACTTTCCCCCCAGGCTGGCCTTGGACTACAATCTTCCTACCTATTTCTCTCACTTAGCTGTGGCACATGCCACCATGCCCAGCTTTTTTGTTGAATCAGGATCTCCATAACTTTTTGCCTGGGCTCTGATTTCTGCCTCTGTAGTAACTAGGATTACAGGTGTGTACCACCACATATGGCCCTAGTTAAGTGCATTTTGAGTATGCATGAAATTAGGCAGTAATAGGACCAGTTTTTGAAAGTGTTTTCAATAGAAGAGTCCAGATCCTGGATTTAAAATAAATAAAACTCATCAGCTTAATGTACTGCTTATTCCTAAAACTAGAAATGTGTGTTGAATATGTGTATTAGCAAAGTAGGCATTACTGCATATGTAAATGTTATTTTTAAGTGGCATCTGAGGGTAAGAATTTAAAGCTTTCCATATTTCTATTTTCATGTTATCAATAGAGAAAATATATAGTGCATTGAATAGAAATTTTAAAAATTGTTAGCATTTTTCATTATTTCCAAAACCAGTTGACACCTCTTGTTTTTGTCAGTCTAGCATGCATATCCTCTTTTTGTCATGGTATCTCAGTTTCCTTTGCTGATGTCCCATTCTTAGTTCAATTGGTTTAGATGGGTTAAGGCCAGTGCTTGCCCTCAGGGGTGGCTAGAATCAGTGATTGCTTTAGGGATGAACCTCTGAACCAAGGGGAGTCACATAGTCAGTTCCAAGACTCATGCCGGAGCTCCTTCTGTTGGGTTTGCTCAACAGATAGACTCTTAGTCTATGACTGTAGTGCCTATCTTAGATTTGATCAAGTGTGAAGCCAAAAGAAAGAAATGGCTTCTTGATTCTGTTGGAACACTTGGAACCTGTGCCTATGATGATTGTCTTCTAATCCTTAAATATTCTCTTTTAAAATATATTCATGTTGTTACTGTTACTTGTTTCAATTCAGTTGAAACTGGGTTTTTGTCAGTTGTAAATGGAAAGAATCCCCACTAGCATAGAGATAGGAGGGCAGCCCAGCAAAGTAAACTAAAGAGCAAAAGGGACTGGAAGTTTAAATTGGGGGAAGTTATTTTTTTAGGCTTCTCCCAAGTACATCATACTGTATATTTCCAGCCTAAAGACAGTATAGCAATTAATCCAGTTGTAAAAAGCTTTAAATTAGGATACAGCCAGGGAACAATTGATAGAGTACTTGTGTCTCCTCATCCAACACCTTGTTTCACACTGCTTCAAGGAGGATGATTAGGCTTAGATTAAGAGGATTGTAGTACTGGGAAGAGCTACTTCTATGTGACTAAAACTTAAACACTGAAACCTAAATTGGTATACTGGATCTTGGTGAGATCTATTGTTTTGGTTGTTAATTCAACCCCTTGGCTGAAGTAAATTGACCAAGTAGCTTACTAAGGTTTTAGGGAAGCTATACTTTCTCCGAATGGCAAACAAAAAACTCTGTTGTTTTTGTTCTAAGGCAATTCTAATCTCTTGAGACTTCACTCAGAGGGAGTGGGCTACTGCAGCAGATGGAGTTATTCTGGCAGATAATGAAAGTGAGTTCTTCTGTGACAGTAGGACTAAATATTTCCAAAATTGGCTGACTACAAACCTCCTTTTGTGAGTAAAGGGAATTCTTGCTACTCTGACCATAGATTATGCTTTGAATTAGAGACCGTGGTTCACTTTACATTCTCTAGTCTTCTAAGTGAGAGTGATTATTACTATTGTTTGTGT